TAGATCTCCAAAAATAGAAACGAATTGCTCAGGTATTTCATAGCATTTTAAGATTTTTCACATCGTCGGACGATATACTGAATCATCGTGGCCTTGATGTCGAATAAACCGGGTGACCAAAGCTGATGAAATCCTCGGCATTGCCCAGTGATGCTATGAAAGTAAAACTTGGGCAGGTCAGGATTATTCCATCCTTACGGCTGCTTGATTTGGCCGAAGTTCACTATCAATTCCTGCCACAGCCTTTTCAGGAGTTGACAGTGGGGTAGTTCCATGAATGCTGAGGCACTCATAAATTATAGGGAAATTACACTAAGCTTTCACCCCTAGATAAGCATTTTGAGGTCAAAATTTAACAAGTTATGCATAAAGCTTTTTCATCATTCCTCATCCGTCATATTTAATACTTTTCGGCTATACACAGAGTGAGACAAATGCCAGTCATAGATCTAACCTACCGATCATTTCTAGCTCTTTGAAGAAGCGATACTGGTAACTATGTAACCATAAAGATCAACGAGGACAACATAAGACTGGTGACAGTCTATGAAGTCCAGGAAAATTGTAATTAAGATTAGGGCAGTCTTCTTACAAGACTAACACAAGCCATAGTTGAAGAGCACTGACACTGAGTGAAGAAAGTGCGCAGGGAATATTGTCTTAATAAACGCTGTACTGCGTGTAATGTATAGAAATTTTTATTAACATTTTATGGATCCCATCGTCGAGTTGTGAACAACGCTGTGTCGAACAGTTCTTCACTGATTCTCGAGCAGAGCATGCCTGTCCCCTCTTCGTTAATAGATATACTTTATTGGCCCATCACATTTCATCTACTCCCTTAACATCATTCAATCAACCCTCCGGGAATGTCATTGGGCACTCATCGATGATTATAAAAATTGCGGTTAGCGAATTGTCAGATATTCCATAGAGTAGGTTTCTGTTTTGGATGAAGAACAGTAAAATTTACCGATCTGAGCCTTGATTTAGTCTCCTTTGCCAAAAGGGTTTTTACGCAAAGTTGATATTGTTTTTATCACTAAGAACTCTAACACTTTTACATTCGAACTTCCTGATTCGAAGCGAATGCCCATTTCGACTGTGCTATCATATTTTATACCCGCTTTAAAATTTAATAAGTTTCTGGTCCGCTGAAAAAATCACAGCGTTTACGCCAAAGCAACATTTCCTCAAATCGTTCAAAATGGTATACAAAACAAGTGAAAGATAGGTGCTGATATGATCAATGATAGAATAAAGCACATTCTAGATTCATGTACCTTTTCACAACGCCATAAGCCTTCTTGCACTGTACCCAGTTGTGGATAAAATCTGAATTGTGGGTCATGATTTATGGGTGAATTGCCACAATTCCTTCTTGCTAATAGCGTTATGACAACCCGGTGAACAGGTCTGTCAAACTGCAGAAAATTTGGTTAATGAGAATTTTTATCAGAGGGTCAATGCATTATGCAGCCCTGTTGAGGCAAACCCTATATTTCAACCTAGCATGCATACATGCAAAAGGACCCGTTGATTTCCCTCGCAATAGAGAACCGACTACATTACGGTAACTAGAGCCAACCTGTCAGGCAGCCAGCTACCAGCCACCGTCGGCCAATTCAAAAGTCATTCCTGTTCATTAGCGGCCGTTTCAGGCCTACAACACTGGTGAAAATTGCCCTCATATTTTTTTAACCTAACATGATAATCAGGTAATTGTACGGCGAAGTTGTTCAAAGCATTTTCTACGTTAGCAGCAGGTCGGTTTTAGCTTGCTCATTCTAAGTCATATTCGCGTACAGTGCGTAGTATGTTATTTCTTTCGTTACTGTCACGAGTAAACGGGAAAAATGCCATGAATTCAAAGCCCTGTAGAGACTAGAAAAAGATTTTCCACACTTAGCTTTCCAAAGAAACTAGTACACGGTTTCAGTGCCGCACGAAAAGGGTCAAGCAGCAAGCACTAATTGCATTGCATTTTTCTAGACATTAAGTAAAATTAACGGCGATACCCAGATTTATGTGCAAGGAACTAGTTTTAAATCAGTTTTCGTCTCTGGACATTCGGAAGCTCTTAAGAACGTAACAGTTATTGCAAAATGCATGAGGATAAGTCTTAAAACATTACAAGTCAAAAATGTGTCGCCGTTACAGCTTTCATCTTCATCTTCCATGCCCGCTTTATTGCAAGCGCAGTCTACCATAAGCCAGTTAGGGTTCACAGAAAAAGTACGAACACATGATCTCACATTAAATAGTTTAGAAAGAAAATTACTTTTTAAAGAAACTAATTTAATTAACTGCAAGAATATGCGTCATTTTGAATTCTATTGAGCTCAGAGGGCATTACTCAACCCGTGTTTAGAATTGACGCTTGATCCCAAATTAGATAACGTGAACAGGATATGTATCAAGAAATTTTACTGCTTTTTCTTTTGATCATTAAACAAATAGCTATTCGTCATTCCGCCGAGTAATCTGAAAGGCTTTTAAAAAATGATTGTTGGTTTTTCTGAGTCACGATTTCATGATGTTAGAATTATTTCTGATTTCTGAACCGTCATTGAAAAAGAATTCTTTGAGACTACGGGCGGAAGTTTAACACCGTAAGTCGGAAACTTTTCATGCGTTTCACATAGTATCATGTCGAGCGGGTCTACCGTCTGAAGATTCGTCTGCATTTGAGGATCGAACGCACTGCTGTCCGACCTTGTAACTTTATTATCCACTACAAAAAATTTCCCAAACTCTAACACCACAGAAGTTATCTTGGCAAAACGAAGCTTCTTTAAGGAAAGACCGATCCCACCATGCATGCTTTTCGAAATGCTAGAGCGAATGCGCATTTACTACCAACAGGTTTCCATCAGATAGTTTCCACAAAACACGTTGATTACCTGGCGATATCATATTCGGTTCATGGGAAAATAACCGTTGTTAAGACCCGCATGGGCTGCAAAAATTTTAAAAAAATAATCAACTTCAGAAGAACTCTACTTGAGCTTAAGACAATAGATCAGTCGGAAAACTTTGTACAAGAAAGATTCCCATTAGTTTACCTTATTACTTTTCAGCAGAACAATAACGACACCGGTCTGTCCGAGGGAGTAAATAATAAAAATGTAGCGATAAAATTAAAACGACACTAACGGATAACTGTAAGACTATGTAAAGGGCTCTTACATACTTTTCCATCAGTGCACATTGGCTTATAATGTCAGGATAATCATAGGCACATAGTTTTCGATTGATTCTCGATTATCTTATCGGTTTATCCTTGAATTTTGAAAATCTTTTACGACTGTTCGGTGTTTATTCATTTTAAAGATTGTTCGGATATGCGAGCTTTAAACGAGAAAAAGTAAGAGTTAGATTGGAACGCTGAAAATTGCCTTTATTTTGTAAACCGGCGATTCCATTCAAACAGCGAAATATTTACAAGATTAAACGGTATAAACAACACGGTTTATTCATACACAATGCAAGCAAATTGGCCAATCGAGTGATCAATTACTACCGACGTTTCGAATCGTATCTCAAGGTCTTTCTGCAATGTTGACAAGTTTGATTTCCGAAGGTCCGCAGTTGCTGGTTAGGTAGTTTTTCGACAACAGAATTGCTAAGGCTTGTCCAATCCGTAGAAATATCATATCCTATGCCCCAGTTGATAATTTTGCAGGATTAGACAATTAATGCCTCTTTCATCTGTTCAACCAGTTTCTTTCTTTAATGATGTCCACTGGAGGACATGAATGAATATTACAGTCCTGGACATATTTTTGTACTGTATTTGACCTGGTTAAGAGCTAGAATCAGCTTTCTTCCGGGATACTTTGTTCCTGCATCTCGATCGCATTCTTCTGCCACAATCAATCCCCAACCGCTTGACAGGTGGGCCTTCATTTATTGAGTGATGGTGCTTCCGGTTTCTCTTATATAATATTTCCCGCATTTACAAAAAATAGAAACTGGCCGGACAAATGAATCAAAGAGGCATTATATACCCAGTCCTGCGACAATATCAAACGAGAGAGAAGATGCGAACTTTGCATGGATTGGAAAAGCCATGGAAAGCAAAATTACTTAAGCAGCAATATGGGACAATAGTTAACCTTATGGTTCCTAAAGTCACAACAACGGGCAATGGAACGAACTGCAGAAATCAATACTGCCCACACTGAAAAACGACCGTGAAAGACGAGCCGAAACGTCGATATTGGTTAATCACCCGATTGACCGATTTGTTTGCGTTGTATATAAATAAAATGTTTTGGTGAAGTTTATTCATGATCACTAACGCCTGAATAAAATACCAAATCTCAAAACAAATATGCTAAATAAAGATCAGGCTTTATTAACTGAAGGTGATATGATAAAGCAAAACTATGCTAGTAACCGTCTCTGAAACTGATGGTTATATACCTCAAATGTTTCTGTCAGTTTAAAGTGCAATTTGCTAATAACCAGAAAAATTCTACTGCCAAAAGTCAGGATTAAATGCTCTAGTTCCGTTATACAGAGCATATGAAAAACACGACCATGCTGTTTGATGGACAAGCGTGACAGACGGTGCAAATACAGAGTGCAAATTATTTACGCAGCCTCTACAAAAACTAGCAGTTAGCTAATATACCCATAATACATAGCTTAATTCCATGAATATAAACTCTGTTAAAAAATTGTAGAGCAGGCAGAGAATGGTAAGTAAAATTAAACTAAATTATAAGTAGTATATTCTATGAAACATTCGTATTCGTCGCTACGATACTTATTTAAACTTTACGATTGTCCATGAGAATCTACCGTACCTCTTGCTTAGGATTTATCGAGCGTCAACAGTCCGCTAAACTTGAACTTACTGGATATGGTCGCGTTTGGAATATTGGATCAGCTTGATATCGATTCGTTTTGTAGTCTTTCTCCTAGTTACGGCATTTGGCGCTTGTTTCGAACGTTTGCAGTCGCCAGCGTGGCGCTGCTGCTGACGATTTGCCATGCCTTCGTTTGAAAACGACGCTCGGTCTAAAGATCTGTCGTTGGTTGACAAAAAACGGCTTCAATGGGAGAAGGAAAGAGGTAAATTTATGCACAGCGGCGAGTACATCTTTGCGAATAAATCGGTTTCAGAGGAGCAGCAGGTGTGGTTTCCGTTTGGCCGTTCGCCGAACCGGTCATCTCGGCGGTCGCGAGCTTCTCTTGACCATTCCAAATCTGTCAACAGCGGGCACAACGACACTCCGGGAACTCCCTATTCGGTGAGAGCTTTGCATCGGTGTACGGCTTCCGCTCGATTAATTTTCGTTTACTTTTTTGTGTGCTGTCTGACCTCTGACCTGTCACCATTCTGTGACATATTGCCGCCAAACCGGTAAAGACCATAAACGGATCACTGCTCATTCTCGTGCATCGTGGAGTGCCGTAAAGATCATAAACCGTTGTAAAGTAGGGTTTGTGTAATATGCTGACCTTAGTGTACGATCGATCGCTTGACAGATGTCAGAGATGTGCATGTGCAGCTGATTGTAGTTAGTTGGTTTATGCCACTTTAAAGCATCTTTATTAGCCGGCTGTAGTTCTCTCTATAAAAACTAGCCTTGTTTGATGGTCGTTTATAAATTTAAGTTCCAGCGTCTGCACTTTTCTGTATATGATGTGAGTAACATTGTGTATTTTTAAGTTCTTGCTTCCCCTGACTCCCACTTCATGGTTCGTACGTTCTTTAGAAGTTTTTGTGAATCTCTGTTTCACGAAATCATTATGGTATTCTGTACGTTTGTGTTCTAACGTTCTCTTAACATCAATGAAACGTACGCATGAAATTTGGGGAGAGGGTAACCACATTCCATTGTGCCATGAGGATGGACGAAGCGTAGACCGAAACTTCAAGCGTGTAAATGAAGTTTAGGTACTTTGTTTCTTCAGTATAATTTTTCAGATGCCAACAACATGACGTTGGCAATAGACAAATTACAATTACGTTTTGCTGTTCTGCTTGCCATATTCAGAGTACGCCATTAGAGACCTTTTTCATCAGACGGTAGCAGGTGAATGATCTCCGTGATTGTGCAAACGCAAGGGTCACCACTTTCTACCCATCTGCATATGCGTGTAGTTCATCTATTTGAACATTCGACCCTGCTTCTCGTTTGTCTCAAGAACACGGTGTCTTAGTCTTCAGTTCTCATGAATTCCAATAATGTGACCAATTAATGAACTGTTCTCTTGCTGCTTTACTAGAAAACGCAAATGAACGTATCTCTAAAAGTATCTCTGTATGTAAGTACAGATGCATTCTCGTATGTATGTATTCATGTATACATGTACGGTTTTGTTTGTGTATTCTTATATATGTATGTATAGGTACATACAAAATCGGGCACATGGCTGTATTTATTTACTGTACTTTTGGGTTTCCTGACTATGCATAAAGAAACCAGTCCGTTAGTGAATAATGAGCCCAGAATCAAAATCTCTTTCAACACCATTCTAGTATGACCAGTACTACTGCTTCTCTTCTTTGTCCTGCACTGAATTTTTCGATTCACGGTTGGGCGTACCAGGTTCAGTTTCAAAAATTACTATTTTCTGATTGCTATCTGGATTTATGGTTCAATGCTACAGGTGAGAAGCGAATTAAAATCCTTTATTTACGAACAGTTCTCGACGCCAGACACCGGTTTCATGGTCAGGTTAGTGGTATGAAAATGAAGCAGCAACATGTTACGAGTTGCGTAACGTTTTAATAACCCGGTCTGTTATTCTATTATTTCTTACGAACAGATTGACTGGTAGCGTTTTAGCTGCCATTCAAATTCAACGAATTCGTTAAAAGAACGTGTGGATTTTTAATACAAACTGTCTTCTGTTACCATGATTCGTAAATGAAGAAGAGGAGGATGAGAATGGCAGTTGTTGAGAACTTAAGTTCAAGCAGAAAGAGTTACAGGGCGTTTTGGGAAATGAAAAAAAGGAAATTTCGTAGCCGCCGGAATGTTGATTTTCCTTATACTTCCATGACGGGACTATTCTGGTACTCTTTCTTTCATGAAGCTAATTGTGGAGCGCCGATCTGCGTTTCCATGTCGTCGATCAAAAGCACCTTGCGTTTTTTTTGAAGGTAGATCCTACAGCCATGTGGCAGACGTAACGTGTGGTCTCCTGTTTTCTTCCAGTAGTGTGGTATTCATTTATGAACCTCGGAAGGAACGAACGCGATTAATCCCGACCATAGCTCTAACTCTGGATCTATCGGTTCGGAGTCCTGTGCTCTACAGACTGAGCAGGCTGGTTCTGAACCTCATATGGTACCTTCCTTGTTCAAGGAAATTTGTAGTTAAGACAAAGAGTTCCATCCGTCGGAATTGAACCCGGCATTTTCGAAATTCTCCTGTGCACTGCTGCGCCCCCTCTCCCCGGCACCATAGATGTGGTTATAGTACCGCCGGTTCCTCCTGGGGGTTCGTAGCTGGTTATTCACGTAAATTCTCGTTTCGTAATAGTTTAGCACCTGCAGTACTTCAACGGAATTTCACTCGTTTTTGTTGACTGTAGCAAATCTATTATTCTCAGTGCAAGGATTTGTCACACGCTTTCTAAACTAGGCAAATTTTTTCCTCTCGGTTAGCAGTCTTTGTACTCCTTAAGCTTTAAACATAGAAATGGAGTGTTTCACTCCGGAAATTCGGTTCAGAATTTGAAAAGTCCTTTACGACGTTTTCAGGAAGAGACAAT